ACGCCTAAAAAGTTTGCTGACTAAAGAAAATTAATGAAAGCACTAAAACATCAATTAATTTGTCAATAGCTTGTCTACTTTTAAGAATTAACCTGCTCATATGTAGAAATTCATCTGGGAAATACTAACACTGGTGTTTATAAAAATAAATTGTTTTACATCACTTTCGGGAATTTTTTTACTCATAAAAGACGTCATCATGGGCCAGTGAAGGGCTTCAAATTTAGAGTAAGTCTCTTACTTGGCACTCGGGCCCATTGAGTGAGGGATTTTTATCGTGCCAACGCTTATTCTGACAAGGGACCCCGGTTTTTTAGGTTTAATTTAAAGGACCGGAGACTTTCACTCATAGTGCCTGGCGCTTGGCGAAGGATTGGTCACTACCTTTGTTTACGGCATAGGTTTTACACGGCGCTGTGAACGACAATCGAACTCTGTAGCACCCCCACCCCTCAGTTTACGATTCATATTATTTGAATACGTGTTGTTTTACGTCCCATGACGAATTTTTCAATTATATAGAAACGTTACCATATACTAGTGAAGGACCTCAAATTTAGACCTTTACTCGGCACTCAGGGCCATTGAGCAGTGAAGGATCTTTGTCGTGCCCACGACACCTGTGACACGGGGCCCTTGTATTTAAGATCTCATTCCGAAAGACCCGCAACTTTTACTTAAAATTGCCGATCGCTTAGAGAAGGGACAATTGCTATCTATTTTTATCGACTTAGGTAAGTCGTGGTTGGGATTTGAACCCAAGACCTTCTGATCATGGAGCGAGCGCTCTACTGACTGAGCTACCGCGGCAGTCCCCCTAACGTCGATTACGAACAGATGCCCTACGAAGTCATGGAATATATCGAATTGACAAATAAGTTAAAATAACTTTTATTAATCCTTGGAACGTCATCGATCCACCTATATATCGCATTCAAGGCCGCAGAAAGAGTTTTCTTCTTATTTAGAATTTTGTAATCTAATTCAATTTCAAAACGGATGGGTTTAAAAGGGTCACAATTAAAATCTATTGAAATTTCAACATCCTGCTGGAAGACCTTGTTTTTCAAGACACAACTAAAGTATTGTCATTGAGAAACTCCAATATCCTCTTAATATTGGCATCACGGTGTTCCTCCGTTTTACCGCCAACATTATTTAATGTAAATAATATTATTAATATAAATGAGTTTTGAACATGTTGAATATATGTAATATTTAGAGGAGTTTAAATATATGTTTGTCATTTAACTTTACTTTCTAACGCGGACATACCGATCTGATTTTTGGAAAAAAAGTATTCTAACTGGCGGTAATAACGGGGGTGATAATAAAGGTAATAGGCAAAATTGTACCTGAAATACGTTGGCGGATGGCGATATAGGCTAAAATGAGGAAATCGGGACTTCGATTTTTTTGGCGGTGAGCAGGGGTGGCATTATAACGGAGGGGTTGGTTGGTTTATAACGAGGCAGCACTGTACTTTTGTGTAGATCAAATGTTTCTTAAAGTAATTTTTAGGTGGCGGATCACTAGATATGGGACTTTCCGCAATTCATTTTGTTGAAGATGCAATTATCTATCATGTGAAAAAGTCAAGTAATCGGAAAGAGTGTTAAAAACTCGTACTAAAATGTGCTTTCTTCTTTCGTGCAACTAAGTCTCGGCATTTCAAAAGATTTTCCTTGATAATAATTTTATCATCTTCTAAGCTAAAGGCTCGCTTCATTAAAAATAATTTATTCCCTGTAACCAGAAAGATTTATGCGTCTAGCATAATTAGTTAAGGATTACATCGTCTACCTATGCTCTAAAATTGAATAAAACTACCCTGGAAAAAAAAGGGAGAATATTTCTTTTCCTTCTCTTTTTTCTGTGAAGATTTGTTTTGTAGGAATACAAAGAGGTAGACATCGTGGGATTTACGTTTACTCTTAATAGATGCACGTAATAAAACTCCTGAAAAGACAAGGTGAAATTTAAGTTTAATTTGTATATTTTTGTACGGAGGCTGTAAAAAAAGGTATGTATGAAAAATTTTACAATTCCAATTTTCAGTTGTGTATATTTAGAGTTGAAATAATGAAACAGTTTACGTATTATTGAAAACAACCATTTACAACATTTGATAAAATCTCATTTTTGTCAGAAATATTTCTTAAGATATTGTTATTAATATGCATTTAAATATCATTTGGGTAAAGATCCATATACCTTTACTTTGATTTCATATTTAGATACTGTTAAATGTATTCTTTATGCAAATACAGTTTCAATGTTTCGGAAAATATAATTGACTTCATCTTTTCTGAGAAGAAAACATAAACCATGTAACCAGGGGTTTTATTTCATAAACAGATAAATTTAACAATTCTATACTATATTTGAAGGCATCGCGTACCAGATGTAAGAAGGAAGAAATATTATTCCGTTATCAATATGTATTTTACTATCTTCTGTCAGTCATGATGACAGATGTTACAATAGTTAAATGACGAACCGTAGGTTTTAGAAGGATAAAGTTAAACTAGAAATGTCCCAGAAATATACCCCCCTCCCCCTTTACGAGGAACTAATGCACCAAGTTTGATGTCTGTCGAGCAAAGTGTTCCCAAGATATTGATCAAACAAAATCACCCTCGGTCTATAGAGTAGAAAATCTTCAGTGGTCACCTTATCGTCGCAAACCATGGCCAAAATGAACATGTACGATTTTCTCCCATTCTGGTAGGAAAGACCTCCGGACCGTGGCTTGAGACGATGTGGCCACCCACACCGCAGGAAAACCCGTATACCAAATTTCACATCTGTCAAGGAAAGGGTTCTTAAGATATTGAGCAGTCAAAATTTTGCCATGTCCAGATTGCCCTTGTCGTATCAAATTCCATGGTGGTCATTTATTTCTCAATGAAATCCAATGAATTTAGTTTAAAAACATTTACTTTTTAAAAGGAACCATGCAGTGAACCAAGTTTAATGTCTTTCAAGCAAAGGGTTTTCTAAATACTGCACAGTCAATGTATTCCTATGTCCAGTTTGATCTTTGACCTTTTGTTTCACTATTTCTGGCCTCAAAATCTGCAGTGGTCGTATACGTCTCCACGGAAACAATGTTCTAAGTTTGATGTTGATGTTTTACATATATTTGTTTCAAATATTAATAAAAAAAATTTATGATGTATTATAAATTTTGCGACTATTTTGTTTTGACAATACAGTGTACCAGTTTGTTTCAATACCAGTTTACTTCAATTTCTATATTCACAAAAATACTTAGTATTAAGGTGGCTCTATACACCTATCGTTTCTCAATTCAACAGGAAATTACTTGATTTTGAAAGATAGCACGATGAAAGTGAAAAATGTGCAATTTTAGGATTAAAAAAATGTTTTTAAAAAAATTCTATTTAATAGTATTAAAATGCAAACAAAGGCTTCAGTGGGATTCAAACTCAGCCTTGGTGTATGGAGGCACCGTAAAAATTATTGAGTTCACTTTTTTGATTTTTTGCCATATGGTCGCAAGGTAGCAACTTGTTTGCCCATGTCCTTGCAGGTTTGACAAAGTGGAAAGACTGTTTTGAATTCTTTCTTGAGTTCTTTGTCTGTCTCTGCATTAGTGGCCCCACAATAATAACAGAGGTCCATCCTGCCAGTTGAAGAACTATAGTATGCAACCTCCATAGGGCTTCCACAGCTGATGTTCATTCTTGTAAAGAGTTTACCATGCAAGGAGTGTTCTGGCGGTGTCACTGGGCTTCCACAGGTGAATTCAAAATCTGACAACAGGAGAGCAAGCTGTACTTTTTATCTGTCTGTCAATTTACTTTTGCCATAAATCAATCTTGGTTTTTCACACTCTGTACATGTTGTTGTATATCTGGCATTCTGCGCTGTAAACACACTAGCTTCACCCTGTAACGCTGGATCATCTGGTATAAGGTTAGTAATTGGATCAGTTCTGGTCTCTTTCTTCTGTTCCTTCTATTTGCTGTTAGTTGACTCACCTTCAACAGGTTTTTTCATCAATGTAGGTCTGTCTTCTTCTGTTGTCTCTATTCCATAGACACTGTCAAAGCCTTTATAGTGATTTTTATCTATATCGAGAACTGGATCAGGAAGCCAATTCCGATTTGACAGAGATGGAGAACAACACTCGATGTCATTGCACTTTCTGACCTGAAAACTGTACTGCCTCAGTCTACAGTGAATCTTTACCCACTTCATGTATTCTTCTACTTTACTTGTATGACTCTTCATTAGTCTGGTCTTGTCCATATTTGGAAACATAATATCAATATGTTTAGACAAATAATCAATTTCATTGTCTTGCATTGGACTCAATATCTGAAAGGGTTCATCCTTCAAAGCGAGTTTTCTAAATCTATTTTCCATTGTCCTACGCACCGTCTCCAAAGAAGTTTCCCATTCTTCTCTAATTTCTTCCCCTTCGGATCTAATGTTATCCAATGATGTGCATTTGGACAGTGTTTGTTCAAATTTTTCTGACCCCTTCTCTCTTGATAAAGCACAGTTTTGAAGCCCTATATTCAATATAGACATGATTCTTTCGGCTGGTTTTATCCAGAACTGACCTGGAGCACATCTGGCTGCAACATATAAATCTAAATCCAGTTCTTTGAAAAGACAGATAGCTGCTAGCTTCACATGCTCAAGATTGGTACTATGGTCTGTCCCGCCCTCACTAAATTTCAAAATAATCTTTGGTTTCTCTTGCAAATTCTGGCTTTGTTTCAGAAGAGCTGTTGCATGCCTCATTGGATTTGATGACTGAAATACTGAGTCATTCACAACCACTGTAACTTTTCCTCTGTAGAAAGGTTTGTCAATGCTGTCTGGTACATCACATTGCATATACACTGATGGTGTTAAGCTGCCCTTGTGGTGCAAATCATGGTCAGTTGCAGCAAGAGTTGTTCTTGTTAATGCTAACACTTTCTTTCCCCTAACCCCAGTAGACAAAGGAACATCGGGTTCTCCTATCTGTACTTTGGCTTTGTCATCACAAAAAAAAATGCACAATCTGACATATGTGCAATATTGTGTCTCCTATCATCAGCTGCTGTGTACTCCTCAATCAATTCTCCCAGTTTTTCAAAGAACAAGTCATACTGCCCTGAAGGTCTTCCTGGGTTGAGTTGTCTGAGATCAGGTAATAGTCCAGTTTCTCCCATGAAGATCATGCGAATTCTCTGTTTGGTAACTGGGTGTACTTCTTTGGATGCATCCAGTGTGAGTTCTTTGTATATAGTATCTAACAAACCAGACTGGACACGAGCAACATTGCTGACCTTTGACTTAAAACTTCTTTTCATTTCTCTTGTGTGGTATTCAGGAAATTTTGGCTTAATTTTCAGAAGATTAGATGCAATTTGCGAACATTTGTCACTATCACTTCTGTTATCTTGAACTTTCATTAAACAATATACTGTCACAATGCTTCCACCAGGACTGTACTTGTACATGTCCACATTCACAGACAACTGCAAGTTTTCAAAAAATCTGTGTCTCTGCATTGAATTTTGAAAAGGATTCAATAAATGTTCTTTTTCATAAAAAAATAGGCTCATTAAAGTCTGCTAAAGCAGTAAATTTGTCAATATGCTTATATTCTTCACGGATTCCAATCCAGTTTCTTTGAATACACCTGACACTAACATCTTCCGACACCTGGCGAACTGGATGGTCTAGATTTTGATTAAACTGTATTTTCTCATTCTGACATTTCAAATATGTACTATAAGATGAAAAACAATCAGCTAAATGTTTTGTGTCTTGATAAGCCTGCTCCCATGCAGGTGTGCTTCTCATATAAGGCTTACTACACAAACTTAATAAAATGTCTGAGTGTGTCTTCATCTGTGTAGTGTCCAGGGTTCCACACTTCTGTTTTTTTTTCTTCTTATGATCGTTATAGCTTTTAAACTTCTCAAACTCTGGTAGGATTCCCAATACTTCTTTCTCTCTCCTGCCTCTCTCTTTTATTGTTATGGTGGTTTGTTACATACCATATAGCATTTGTCAAGACCTGAAAAAATTATGTCAGAATTTACTTTCCTTGTGTCTGCTGAAACATGTAACACTTTAAAAGGAAAAAAATATAAACACACTGGTTTAAAATATATTAATAAAAATCTTATGTTTAAAGCACCATATTTAATCATATGCCAAACATATTTTATAGACAGTTTAAGGTATTATTAAAATAATGAAACTCAAACATGATATTTTAATAGAGACTAGTCTTCTGTTTTACACTTTTATATAATACATAAGACCAAACATGCACATAACTACTAAGTCAGTAAGTGATACTACAATGAGTAAAATATAGAATGCTATACATAGTGTCAGATTCTAAACAAGAGGCCCAAGGGCCTTAACGGTCACCTGAGTATAATACAACAATTTAGAAGTTAAATACACTGATAGATGAAGCAATGTTGCCCTAGCCCCTCCCCTCCTCAAGAACCCCCAAAACTGAGGCCATATATTTAAAAATTTTGGAAGAGGCATCCTTGTCTATCATAATCATGCACTTAGTTTGTTTAAATAATCTCCAGTAGCAGAGAAGAAGTTTTTCAAAGAATCAATGCATTTTCACTATATAATCAATAGAGCCCCGCCCTAACACCAGAACCCCTGACCCTGGGGCCATGAAATTCACAATTTTTGAAAAGGCATCCCTATTCATTTAAATAGTCTCCAGTAGCAGAGAAGAAGATTTTCAAAGAATCAATGCATTTTCACTATATAATCAATACAGCCCCACCCTAACACCAGAACCCCTGACCCTGGGGCCATGAAATTCACAATTTTTGAAAAGGCATCCTTATGCATCATAACCATGCACGTAGTTTGTTTAAATAATACCAAGGAGCAGAGAAGAAGATTTTCAAAAAATTAAAGCATTTTCACTATATAATCAATAGAGCCCCGCCCTAACACCAGAACCCCTGACCCAGGGGCCATGGCTTTCACAATTCTGGAAGATGCCCACCTCCTCATCATAACTACGTACTTAGTTACTTTATTAAATACCCAGGAGCAAAGAAGAAGATTTTCAAAGAATTAATGCATTTTCACTATATAATCAATACAGCCCCGCCCTAACACCAGAACCCCTGACCCTGGGGCCATGAATTTCACAATTTTGGAAGAGGCACTCTTGCTCATCATAACTATGTACTTAGTTCCTTTATTTAATACCCAGGAGCAGAGAAGAAGATTTTCAAAGAATTAATGCATTTTCACTATATAATCAATACAGCCCCGCCCTAACACCAGAACCCCTGACCCTGGGGCCATGAATTTCACAATTTTGGAAGAGGCACTCTTGCTCATCATAACTATGTACTTAGTAACTTTATTTAATACCCAGGAGCAGAGAAGAAGATTTTCAAAGAATTAATGCATTTTCACTATATAATCAATACAGCCCCGCCCTAACACCAGAACCCCTGACCCTGGGGCCATGAATTTCACAATTTTGGAAGAGGCACTCTTGCTCATTATAACTATGTACTTAGTAACTTTATTTAATACCCAGGAGCAGAGAAGAAGATTTTCAAAGAATTTATGCACTTTCACTATATGATCAATATAGCCCCACCCTGGGGCCAGAATCCCTGACCTTGGGGCCATGAATTTCACAATTTTGGAAGAGGCACTCTTGCTCATCATAACTATGTACTTAGTTCCTTTATTTAATACCCAGGAGCAGAGAAGAAGATTTTCAAAGAATTAATGCATTTTCACTATATAATCAATACAGCCCCGCCCTAACACCAGAACCCCTGACCCTGGGACCATGAATTTCACAATTTTGGAAGAGGCACTCTTGCTCATCATAACTATGTACTTAGTTCCTTTATTTAATACCCAGGAGCAGAGAAGAAGATTTTCAAAGAATTTATGCACTTTCATTATATGATCTATATAGCCCCACTCTGGGGCCAGAACCCCTGACCCTGGGGCCATGAATTTCACAATTTTGGTAGAGGGCTCAATGCTTATTACAATGATGCCAACAGTTTGACTGCTTCATGTCCGGGAGTAAAGAAGATTTTTAAAGATTGCATTATTTTTGGTGGTTTTAGCCCCACCCCTCAGGCCCCGGGGGGGGGGGGGCAGGGACCATGAAATTCACAATTTCTGTTCCCCTTCACCCATAGATGCTATATACCAAATTTGGTTGAAATTGGTTGAGCGGTTCTAGAGAAGAAGTTAAAAATGTTCAAAAGTTAACGCACGACGGACGACGCACGACGACGGACAAAAACAGATAGCAATAGGTCACCTGAGTGACTCAGGTGACCTAATAAAAGTGTAAGCAGACCATTCATACATAGATGAGGGTTATATATTAAAGTGAAAGGAAAGAGTGTGTTCAAGTAGTAAAGCAGCAGATGAGAGTTTTATAAAGCTTATATTGATTCATTCTTGCACCATTTACTTTAAAATTTCACTGTACCTGACTTGTCTGAAATGTCACTGAAAAATTCAACAATAACAAAGTCATATTGCCTTTCATATTTGTTTAATATTACAAAACTAGTTTAATACTCCATACACAAATGAATACCTGTGCAAAGTATGTTCCTTCATTGTCTGCAAAAAACAGAACAAAACAAAACAAAAAAAAAAAAAAAAAAAAAAAAAAAAAAAAAAAACCACCAAGTTTCTCTCCTCCATCCACATGATGATATCATTATGTAGCCCATCTTTGTTGGACAATCCATCATGAACACCAGCACTAAGAATTTTGGAAAATAAATTTCCTTCAACTTTATCAATCAACAATGTTTCAATATCATGCAAATTACAATGGTTACACATAACTGTCAAACATATTAAAATAAAATGTTCTAATTTTCTTACAATATCTAATGTTATATACATGTAAGACTAATTGTATCAGCTAATTTTATGTACATACCTGGAACGTTTTTTGCTAGGTACGCGAGGTTTGTTGGACATTCCCGCACTTGACATCAATATTTGAAATGCATTCGGGGGGGGGGGGGGGGGGGGTGGCAGCAACTGGCTGTGATTCTTCAACTTGATCCTTAATACACTGAAGCTTCATATATTTTGTGTTAGCAAATGTCCTGAATACGACACCCATAGGGGCCTGATATAAATCGGATAAAATGTCGTCGTCGAAGGCTGCCCATGGTCCATTTCCTGAAGTGCTTAGATATATATTAAGGAAAGAATTTGGGCACTTGAATCTCGCCTCAAACATATCAAATGTTTTTTTATGTTTTACAACACTTATAAATCGTTTTTCCTCTCTGTGATGACATTTTTTGCACCAAATGTTCACAACGGAGCACATGCTGTCGGATTGAGATTCTTCGTGAAAACGCTTGCATGTTGTTTTAAATATCATGTAAACTTAAGCGTTTTAAAGACGTTTGTTTTACGGACATCGAAAAAAAGATCAGGATCGGCGCATTTTTTAAAGTTAGGTCGGGTTACCCGAAACGCACATTTTTTTTTAGGCCTTACCTTAACAAAATGTTAGGTAAGCCCGCATCCCGCCGTTACATTACCCATAATCATAAATGAGGTCATGCATCATATTTAATACATCACTATGCTCCTTTGTCCTTCAAGTTATGGGTTCTTTAACTTAAGTGGGGATTACATGTACATACTATTCATAACAGTTCATTAAAATCTTTATGATAAAATATTCAATTAAAATTTCAGACCAGCTTTCTAACTAATGAAAAATGTTGATATGCTAACATTATTTTAATTCAAATGTTTTAACCTTGGTTCCAGATGGGTTTTAATTTTACAGATCTCGACTGAAATTGCATAATGTTGAAATACATACCAATTTCTCAAAAATACTTCGTTGTTTAATAAGTTTTTGAAAAACTAAAATTTGAAATCAAATTGATTTTTTGCAGGATACTTACATTAAGTAGAAAATGATTTGTGTTTTATGACAGTGAAACCTGTCAATTGCGAGATGCACTTGGAGACAGGATGTCATTTTTAAAAAACGATTTTAATTTTAGTATGATTTTTAAAAATTCTTATAAATAACTTGTATACTAATTGTTTTGGAACAAATCAAGGTCTTTCTCCCTTCGACAAATTTCAAATTTATATGCATTTTCTTTTATTTATCTTTAAAGGAGAAATTTTGAGAAAAGGGAAACCAAAAATGGCTAAAAAAAAAATTAAAGTCAAAGGTCAAGGATCACATTGTAGTTGGTCCCATATTTCTCTAACGTTCCCTTAATAAGTTCTAGGGTTTAACGATAAATGAAATACATAAAAAAAGGACAATCACTCTTATAAGGGCTTACAAGATCCTTTCACGCTACACGCATTGAAGTTATGACATGAGAAACTGAAGACATCAGTGAGTATACGGTCTTGGATGAATAGAGATAGCAAGGTTTATTTTGAAAGGTTGAATAACTTTGAAACGGGTTATACTTGGGGGTCAAGGGAATAAAGT